AAAAAAAAAAGAAAAGAAAACAAATAGAAAAAGAAAATATTTAGAGAAGAAAAATAAAAGCGAAGGAAAACCGTTTTTAATTTCTTTTTTTTTTTTTCTTTCTTCTACTTCTCCTGTTCCCTATTCTTCTGGTTGTTGTGTCTTTATGTCTAATGACACTGAGCCCAGTACACTTCTGGCCCATCTCTCACAGCTGCCAGCCACAGAACATGCGATTCTTCTCAACCGCTTTAAATTCTTAAATCTTGTGCAGCGGGTGGCCGCCGCCGACGTGGCGGAGATGATCCAAAATGTCGGGCTGGATGTTTTATTGTGTAAAGGGGCGCTGGAAAACATACCGCCCCCACTCACATTCCCCATGCAAGGACCAACAACAACAGCAGGAGGAGGAGGAGGAGGAGGGGTGAGAGGAATGGAACATCCAACAACATTAGCATCTACTCAACGCCGAATGAATAGACGTGGTCATACTACAGCAATGGATACTTCTACAGGGACACCACGGCGAAGGCGATTTGCCACTCGGGAAGAAGAATCTAAATTTATTCAAAGAATGGCAAAACCACCGAAACGGAGGGATATTTTTGCTCATTTACGTGAACCAGTACGGGAACATCATGAACATAACCGCATGCATAGACGCGCAGAATCACCGTCATCATCTATACCATTACCATATAAGAAACATTTTCCAGGACATGAATGGGAAGATAGAGAAGGAAATGTGATATACCATGATGACTTGAACAACAGTGATGTAGTTATGATTGATTCTAGTGATGATAGGTATCATTCATCTGGTTTTGGTGCTGTTAATACAGGACAAGTTAGAGAACATACCGCTAGCCCACCACAGGGACGTGGTCACCGTCCAATTCCACGAGTAATGGCACGACCAAAGGAAGTATCAGATCAGGATTATGCTACTCATACAGATAGACGACAACAACAACAACAACAACAACTTTCTAACACGGGAGAAGAAACTCATTCTCCAACAGAAGCATTGCATATGCTTCCTGCAATAAATGCAAGTGGTGAAGCTATAAACCATTGTAGTGATGCTTCTCCTGTTACTCATCACCTGGAAACATCCCACATCGCACCCGCTGAGGCTTCCAGCTCACGTGGAATGTTTGCTTCTACTACACGTTCTCGTGGGGCATTCGCACCAAAAGCAAAACCGAAAGCCGCAGCGGATGTGCCACGAGTTCCAATGGAAGTCATTCGTCACGCTTCTGCATTATTAGCGGCTAAAACTAGTGCTGCTGTGCCTCCACCCGCACCACCTCCACCACAAGAGCGACTTCCCACTCCACGGGCAATTCCACAAATTGGTTCTTCTGAGACTCCAAGTATTCATTACAACTCTGCCACATCTCAATCATATTCACAGTCGATGTTACCACCAGAGTTGCGCAGTGGTCGAAAAATGGATTCTGAACTTCAACGAGGACAATCATTTACAGTACCAAGTAAAACTCTTTCAGATGAAGCTCTTATGGAAGTAGCCTCTTGTGTGGAGCGTATGCTGCAAGATCATCGATCTATTCTAGATAGTATTGTAAAAGAAGAACAGAGTCCACCACCGGATTCTCCAAAAATAATACGACGAGTTGAAAAGGGAGGAAGAGGTGGTGTAGCAGATGATATGGATAGTAGTAAACTCAATAAGAAGAAACTTGAAATGCAGAGTATAGCAGTGAATACTACTTCTGAAACTCCTATAAGTCGTATAGTTCAGCATGCTCATGATATTTTGGAGGATATAAGTGATGAAGATGATGAACTTTTGCTGGTAAGTCGTCTTCAACGACAAGTTGGTGCAATGGATCGCGAATTAGAAGCTATAGAAGAGCGTGATTTGCATCATAATGATTTGAGTGAAGAAGAAGAAGAAAAGGAAAGAGTGTTAAGTGCGTCTGTTTTAACAAAACGGCCTGAACGACGAGTCACTATTGCAGATCCCAAGGAAGTAATAGAAGCTGTAGGAACTAAGAGAAAATTATCACAAGGTGGACATCGTCGTCGGGGTGAAATACCACGTGCCATTGTGGAACGTTTACGTTCTTTTCAAAAAGAAAATCATGAGTATATTCATTACACTGAAAAGCAATGGAATACTTCAAATGTAACAGAGCAAGTATTTGCGCAACGTCTTACTGATACTCTTGTGGATGATGCATTTCAAGAGGTTTTTCAAGAAGTTGGAGATATTCTTGATGAATATGTGGAGGGATTGGCCCAACATGAACTCCAGTAAATTTTGCCTCTAACTTTCATAGATTGAATTTACGTAGCATATGCGTACATGCACATATGTATGTCATATTTTCTATATATATATAAAGTCTGTTCCCCTTGTTTCTCTTTCAATATTACAGTGTAGCTGAAAACAAAAAACAAAAAAAAAAATAATTGCAGTTGAGTTGGTGGTCGAGCAGGTTTTTTTTTTTTGTTTCTTTTGTATGTGTGCGCGTGTTTTATTAATATTGTTTTTGCTTTTCTTTTTTTTCTTTTTTTTTTATCATTTTGGATTAAAACTAGTGGGAGTGAGGGATTATTCTTCTTATTTTTTTTTTTCCTACTGTTTTTAACATTTATTGTTATTATTATTTTTGCTCGTTTTATTTACCTTTTCTCTTTTTTTTTTTGGTTCCCTACTGTATGTCTCATCTTATCCCTTCTCTTATAGAGATAGGTGCATTTTAGCGTACGAGAAGAGATAAAACATATACACATTTCACCCCCCACCAGTATTAGAAAATAGTTGCAGAAATTTACAGGAATGACAACGCGGGCATTAGCACAAGCCCAAAGGGAAGAAGAGTTTATGCGAACTGCAGATACAGTTAATAGATTTGTTATATCAACAGTGCAATTTCTAAACCGTTTTGCTGCTCAATGTGATGCTAAACTATTTGAGACAAACCGTTCACTTCAACGTCTTGAATCACTTACTGCGCTTCTTGAATACAAACTCAATAGTGTTGATGATGAGTTTGATGAAATTGAACCCACAGGGGCTCCTTTTTCTGCTCTATCCCCATCACCCCAAACACAGAATGGAAGTAGTGGTGTTGGTGGTAATTTAGGAACTTTAACTATTCTTGACCGGAATATTCCCCCGCCCATGCCGGGGCTCTTAACATCAGCAGACAATCGTCACCGACCACCACCGCCGCCACCATCACATCAGCAACTCCAGCGTCGTGGACCACCACCGCCGCCTGGTGTGATGATAGCGACAAACTCCAGTGGAGTAACTTTAGTACCGCAGGTGTCTGCAGTAGCGGGGCCATCACCTGTTTTGTTGCTTCAACCACCACCAGGTTTTGTTCCACCCCAACCCCCACCAATGCCATTGCTGGGAGGATATACAATGTCCACTCATCCACGATTACAAGGATATTTTGATATGCTGGCATTACGAGTACCAATAGAGGCTATAAAAGCAAAGATGCAAGCAGATGGATATCAACCAGAGTGGCTTGATACTCCAGATGCTCTTGCACCTTCTACATTATCAGCTACAGAGAATGTTTTATATGAATCAGATTGACGTTTCTATATTCAATTTATCATTTTCTATGAGTGAGTATCATTGTGGTGTATCATACTTTATCCTCTGTGGTTTAGCAAACCCTTCTCTTCCCTTCTCCCTCCCAAAAAAAAAGAAATAATAATCTTTTTTTTTTGTTTTTAAGAAAAGAGCATTTATCGTTTTTTTTTTTTTTTTCTTCTTCTTCTTTGAATATTATTTTACCTTTCCTTATTATTATTATTTTCTTTTTTACCTGGCAAAGGAAAAAAAAAGGCGCTAGAAGCGGTTAAGAACTTATTATTATTATTATTATTTCTATTGTTGAAAAGATTTTTTTTTTTTCTTTTCTGGTGTATTTCTTCTTTTGGATCGTGGAATTATTAGTGCAACAGGTAAATTAGAACGTGAAGAGACATGGGAAAAGGCAGTGGCTTCGTTCATCTTAACACACCTGCTGCTATCTCGTATTCACCTGGTCAACAAGTGACTCTCTCAGACTTGCGTCAAGCGCGAAGTCGTGAGGAGTGTGTTGTTTTACCGCGAACAGTTGCAATTTGGCGGACCGCATTCCGCGCATACGTGCGGGCGAAGGGATTATCGCAGTTTGTGGGAGATGTGGAGGCGGAGCGGGATGGTGAGGGTCCAATCCTTCCACCATTGAGAGAGGCCACAAGTACAGCACAGAAACGTCAGCTCCCTCAGTCAGTTTCTAATCGTAGTACATTGGATTCTACTAATACTAATACTACAACTAATACTAATACTAATGCAGAAACTGCGGCTATTACTTCGGGTTCGACTTCTCAGAGAATAGAAAAGTCAAGTTCCTCTTCAGAGGCGCCGGGTATCAAGATTGTTTCACACCACAAACTCAGCGGGGAGCGAGTATTCGTTTATCCTGACCACGATGGTGTTCTCTCTGCTGGTGTTGTACCACAAGTTGTCATCTCCGCTGAGGAAAAAGCAGAGCGTGAGGCTGATCAAAAGTATTACATTTCACCACAGGAGATGTCGGAAGAGGATCGAGCAGCACTGGAGGAACTGCAGGAACTATGGAAGAGTCGAGCTCGAAGCCGGAGTATACAGGGGGCGAGTCATCGCGCCGCTGCAGGGAATCTTCTGCCGGATGGTGATGCTATCAATGTAGAGGATGAGAAGAGCGGGGAAGCACATGTGAAGCGAAATCGATTGGAGTCTCACACAGAGAATGTCTCAAGTAGATCGACAATACACACAGACGATGCCCTAGATGATGCACTCCGCTTAGCTGGGGAGTTTTTGGACCACTTGTGATTTGGGTTTCTCTCCCAACCACTAAAGAGAAAGAAAGAAAGGAAGGAGAGGATAGAAGGAAAACAAGGCAAAGAATAGTAGGAGGAAATAAATAATAATAATAAAAAAAAAATCATAAAGGAAGTTTACATGACTTGAAGTGATGTAACCTTTTTTTTTTTTTTTTGTTAACCTTTGCTTATTTCTTGCTTTTTTGGAGTGAGTTCTGTTGAAGATGACTGCTTTTTTATCTGGCATTTTTTTGATCTTGTTGTTGTTGTTTTCTCTTCTATTTGGAGCTTCGTGGAGTGTAGATGTCATGCTCTCAGTTGTCGTCTTAAACCTGATTTTGTTGATTAAATATTTATTTATTAGTGACAAGAAAAAGAGCAACATTTGTTATTTTATAATAATATTAATTTTTTTTTTTCCTATTTGTGGGTACCGAATTGTTTTCTTTTTTTCTTTTTTTCTTTTTTTTTTTCCTATACTTGAAAAGTGAGAGTACATAACTAGATTATATAGGATCCTACGGTGCACAGCGTGGTGAATTCAGCTGTTTCCGAGCGACACACTTTGTATTTCCACAGACACACCGCACATATTAGGAGGGTTAAAAAAGAAAAAGAAAAAAAAAGTAGCGAGGGAAAACGGAGAGACTAAAAACATTATATATTTTTCTATCCGTGTAACGTTGAATTACTAGATCTTCTTTTTCTTTTTTTTTTTTGCATTTTATATATTTTCTTCTGTCCTCATCAATGCAGCGTCGCTTAAGTGCCCGAACTGCTGGCCAGATGGCCCGTTTTCCGTGCAAAACTTCTGCCCGTAAGTGCAGCACGACGAATGCCCAAGCTTCTGCGACTAATCGCATTACTGGATCTTTGGCTGGTGAATCCACCACTGCCACTACTGCGAGAGGGCCAATGCGAAAGGATTGGCGTACTCACAAGGAAGTTGTATATGTTAAGGGTGTTCCTATGAAGGGTAGTTTGTTTAAACTTCCGTTAAAGGAGCAAATTCTTATTTGCCTAATTTTTTCAATCACAGGTAGTGCGGCCGTTTATATTGTACGTCCCATTATTCGTTCCCTTGTAAAAGATGGTTTTCTTGGTTTACCAGAAGATAGTGGGTGGATAAATGGTCCGTGGTTGTATCGCTTTTTATACATTGCAATCATGTACCCCGCGTACTCTTTGATGTTGCTTACCATTGGCTCAATCTTTGGACGACGTGTGTGGTTTTCTTTCATGATTCACAAAATGTGGTCACGATTCCTCACAAAAAATGCTTCAAAGCGACTTGAATACATATTAGACTTGCAACATTATTAAAGAGGTAAGTACACATGAATTAAAAAACAGAAAAAAGAAGAAGTAATATTATTGGTTTCTTTATCTGCGTGTGTTTCTGTTATTATTGAATCCGTATCATACATGTGCTACCCCCTCTCTCTTTCTCTCTGTGTGTGTTTGTGTGTTTCTTTCTTTGTTTCTAAGAAAGAAAGAAAGAAAGAAAAAGAGTAAAAGAGAGGGTGAGCCTTCGACTCTAGTAAAATCGAAGAAGAACTAAAAAAAAAAAAAAAAAAAGTGATACGGTTACTTTACCCAAGTGGTAAGCGAAACGAGCGGCATCCCAAATATTATTTCATCAACCTCTGTATCTATTCATTCCCCTTTCCCCTTTCCCTACCAACACCATTATTATTTCTTTTTTTCTTCTTTTTTTTTTCTTTTTTTAGTTTGAACAAACAAACAAACAAACAAACAAACAAACAAACACATACTCTCTACAGAGACTCTTCCCCAGCAGTAGATAGAAGAAAGGATAAGAAGTAGCAAATGGATTGGGATGCGGACGCGGTGGTGCGGGCCTTTGGCCGCGGGACGGCGGCGGGGGCGGCCCTCCACAAGTGTTACGTCCGCCCGTCGAAGCCGTCGACCCTCGACCCCGAACTCCAGCAGCGGCTGCGGGCGATGGCGGAGGCGCGGGCCGCCAGCGAGAGGGCGCAGTTCCACCCAAAGCCGGTCCCGAAGTCCCAAGCGATGATTCCACGCCCCCGCGTCGGGCTCCCGCAGCGGCCATCGCCGGAGGACATCGCCCGATACCGACTAGACGCCCTGCCGCACAAGAAGAAGGAGAGCGTCATTCGCAAAGAGACACGCGCCAGGAGTCCACTAAAGCCCCCACAGTTTAAACGACCAGTGATGACGACAGAAGAAAAGGAACGACTTGGACAGATTTTTCAATTCGGGGAGGTGCCGCAGAAGCCAGTGAAATTTACAGGAGCTAACCGTGTACGCTATGGCGCAATAGATAAGCGGTATCAGTTAAAAGAACGCTTTGAAAACTTACAAAAACAAGTTCAGAGCTTAAAAGAAGAATTACAAGAATTACGTCAGGAACAGAACGCTGATACAGAAAACACCGCAGATGGTTCAGAACCGATCATTATAGCTGCAGGACCTGAAATTAGACGACGATTTCATAAACGTAATCCAATGAAAGCCCTAGAGCGAAGGTTGATGGAACAGGATCTCACACGGGCTATTGGTGATGCTTTGCTAGAGATGAAAGAAATAGACGCCGCGATTTGTGAACTGAACGCAAATGAGGCAGTGAAGTATGGCCTAAAGCCTTGAAAGAGTATTATTAGAGCATAGAGAAATGAATTAACTGCTGACCATATGACTCCAATGTTGGAAAAAAAAGAAGAAAAGAAGAAGAAAACAAAAAAAAAAGAAGAATAGAGGAATAGAGTAGGTTAAAAAAAAAAAAATGGAATTATAAGAAAAAGTGGAGTGAGAGATATCGAAAACCAGAGTGAAAAATGAAAGAAAGAGAAATACCACATGTTTCTCCTTTGACTATTCTTTTTTTTTACGTTGTGGTAGTTTTTTTTTTCTTTTATTCGTTCGTTTCTCAAGATGTATAAATCTCTCCGTTTTTTTTTTTTTTTTGTTTTTATTATCTTTTTTGCACGTATTTGTGTATGCATACTATGCGCAGTGTTTCACCCTAACTTCCAAAAAGAAAAGAAAAAAAAAAAACAAATACAAAAAGAAAAAAAAGATGCTTGTGGACGGTGTACATACAGTAACCCGTTATCAATGGAAAGAACTGGATGGAGGAAACGCACGTAAAAATGTTTTTTTTTTTTTCACTCTCCATGATTCTTTATTTCCTATGACCTTTTATGAAATTAGGCCAAGAGAAGGTCTTCTTTACCTATACCAATTTCTATTGTGTTTTTTTTTTTTCTTGCTATTATTTCTCTTTTACTATTATTATTATTATCATTATTGCTTTTTCAATTCCTGCAAGAGAGCACCCCCCCCCAAAAAAAAAAAAAAATAAAAAAAAACAGCTGCAAGTTAAGAGGATAAATCTTACAAGCGTGAAGTAAACTCTACTCAGTAAAAGAATATTGGAATACAACTAGAGTTTCCCCTATAATAAATAAATAAAAATGCTCTTTGTTTCTTTGTTTCTTTCTTTCTTCTTTTTTCCCCCTCATCCACGTCTGTGATGCTAACTTGAACACATCTACACTGGAAAAGTGAAATTTTGCTAGGCATGGAAATGCCAGAATTTTTCACACATGAGACAGAAAAAGAAAAATGTAGCAGTAGCGTCTTTGCTTCTACCGCCTCCTTCTCTCATCAAACAAGTGAGGAGGGAAATAGGAATAATAATAATAATAGAACTGCGGGATGTGAAGGGCCTCCGCGTATTGCCCTCACATTATCCAATACTCTCGTACAGTTCTTATCACCTCTGCAATTGCAGGGTTACACTGCGAAGGTGATTGAGTCATCGGGAACACCGCACATGGATGAACTGGTGGCTCAAGTCACATGTGAGGAAGACGTGGAAAAACTTCTCGGATCTCAGGCTTCTTTACAGCAGCGAAGAGAAATGTGGAAAGGGATATGCAAATGGAAACGATTAGCTGGAAAACACGGACGAGAAAAGACGAAAAAGAATAATAATAATAATAACAAAAAAAAAAACCCACCATGTGTTACTTCTAGTGAAACTGTAATTTCTAGTGAAACGATTTCCTTATCAAAGACTATAATTACAAATAATAGTAGTAGTAGTAGAACCATCACACCTCGTTTTGGTGATATGGATGGACACACACCTTCTCAGTTTATGCGTCAGTTGGCTTTTCATGGGTATAAAAAAACCAATACACCAGTAGAAATAAACCCTTCCCCACAAAGGTGTAGTAGTGAACCTATTGTATCTGCTCTCACAAATAATACAATGACCCCATCTAGAAATGAAGATAGAATTAATGGAATACAAGAAGGTGGTTTAAATTCGATAACTCCACATCGATCTGCTTCTTGGTCATCATCTACAAATACTCTTTTTGGTAGTTCTCATAAAGGTTCAGGTAATCACTACCATCGTGAATGTTTTACACTGGCTTCACTTTCAGTAGGAGCAAATGTAGACATAAATGGAGAGAATGATTTCGCTGATGAATGGGGAATCCCTACGGAAGAAGCCGCATTACAGATTGTTTCTGATTCTTCTGTAGTAACACCAAACGCAGAAAAAGGAATTGATGAAATGGAATTGGTTGAGAAGTGGCGAGAAGAATATGAAACATTACAGAAAGAAATGCGTATGTCATTAGATAAATCTCTTTCAGATTATAATAAAGGTCTACAAATATTACAGGAAAAAATTCATCTGGTTCTTGAAAAGATTCCAGAAGATCAAACTTGCCCTCAAAAGACTATAGCTCGAGAGTTAGCTTTCCAACTAGTACGAGAACCGAAATTGAGTATTGAGTTACATCCTACAAAAGTGAATGAAACAATAGATATGATGGTTAATGTTAATACTGATCCCACATTAGTTTCTTCATTCCCAAAGCCTTCTCTAGATAGTCATCAAGATGTGAATGTTACGCATATCTTACCAAGTTCTATTGTTGAGGATTTACCTTGTCCTGACCCAATGGATGGTGAAGAGATTCGAAATAGTATTCGACCATCTTCATTATTAAATACAACAGTTATTTCTCCTCTTTCCATTAATGTTGGAGAAGATGCGGTACTATTATCAACAACAGAGGTTCCAAGTCTTAGCGATATTACAGCATCTGATAGAGGAAGTCATAGAAATACGGAGATACGAATATCAATGGACTATATAAAAGATAAGATAATATTACCACAAAAAGAGCAGAATAGGATTTCTCAACATGTAGAAAATAATACATCTTATGATTGCTTAGTTCATCTTATGTCTGAGAAACCCATAGTTGGGTCTATGCCTCCTACATTTACTGATAATACAGATGAAAATGTTATTGAACCTCCTGCTGCAGGGGAAGTATATAGTGCTGTTAATGATGGTGATAACAACCATAACAATAATAATAATAATAGTGATATTATTAATAATAATAATAATAATGATGAGTTGATACAATATTCAGAAGCGGCAACACCTCCTTTATGTAATGAAGAAGATAATATGGATAATGATATTGTAGGAGCCCAAATTATTACTAGTCCCTTCGGTATGTTATCTCTTGAAGACTTTGGCTTAAGGGCTTCAACACATGAAGTAAATAAAGGATCTGTTCCACTTTATTCAAGTACTCTATTAGGTGGTGAAATGCATTCGATTGGATGTAATGAGAATGCCCAAAATGATATAGAAACTCAAGTGATTGATGTGGATGACTTTTCTTCTTCTTCTGAAGATATAGAACATGCACAAGTTCCTTTCTTATATAAAGAGAATTCTGGTACAGTTCCTCTTCATGAAGGTAGTTTCAGTCTTGGACTACATAGTAATTCCATGATGGTGGATGAATGTTCTTCTTCTCAAGATGATAATATTGGAGTCTATACACAACTTTCCCAAAATCGACAAATGGCAGTTTCACGAAGTCCTTCACTTCCAATGCCGATGGAGTCTGGTGAAGGTACTGTAGAGAGAGAGGGAGTTTCCTTTTCACTAACGGATTGTGCCACACAACTAGATTGGACATCCGCAAGTAGTATTGTTACTGATGTTCGACATATGCTTTCTAGATTAGAAACAGATAAAACTGTTATTGGTGAAAAAAATTTAAATAATACCAATAATACAACAATAACATTTATTTCACCACAACGTCCAGCAGCTCCTCAGGGACTTCCACCATTACCAGTAAAGAATCCAACAAGTGGTATTCTCTCAAACTGTGATAAAACGATAACAAAAGGATCTCTCGAAGAATTAACACCAAGTAAAGTTATGACTATGGGTTACAAGGCATTAAAAAGGTGGTGTAAGAATTTGGGTCTTCAGATTCCTCGTGATGGAATGTGTGGTAATGATGATGAAAAGGGAAGATATCAACGTTATCAAAATGATTCTGGTATGAATCTTTCAGAGTGTGAGGATAGTAGAGGTTTTAAAAGTACACAGGAAGAAAATAGTAATGGTTGGTGGTTGCTTAATGGTGGAGGTGATAGTGTCTCTGTTATTTCCAGTGGATTTAGCGAAGATCGGGATGATGATAGCGATGATGATGAAGAAGATGATAATGATTATAATAATAATAATAATAATAATAATAATAATAATAATAATAATAATATCAATGAAAATTCAAATGATGGGAATATGGCCTGTACCCCACCAACACTATTACAACCACCCATATCCACTTCTTGTCTGTCAACTGATGCTGATGATTCTGAGTGGAAAAGTCTTCAGCGAGCGGCGCGGGTGGAGAAAATGCGGGAGTCTCTTCGGCTTTTCATTGCAAGACGTACTTTTATGCAAAAAGTAGCTCCATCCTTTCTTCAGCGTTTACCGCGTTTCTCTGATGGACGTCCTTATAAGCGTCTTCGGGCTGCAGATTTGGTGAAAACGCAAATCGCCTTAACCCAACAACAATTAGAAGAACAACGTCGTTTAGCAAGAGTGGAGGAACAGGAAGAAATGGTACGATGTGTGATAGCCAGTTTAGCTGGTGAGGCAGTGGAAAGTATAGAGCAACAATCACTATGGACAATGAAAGGTAAAGTCAATAATAATATAAACCGAAGCGATATCTTATCTACATCTATACGAAGTGGATCACCAACTGCCTCGGGTAACGTAGGACAACCTAAACTCGCTCTATATGAACAAATACTCTTAATGGAACCAACCGATTTACAAGCCGCAACTACGCTTGTGCAGGCAGACTTTCCACATGTCTCTCGACATCGTGTGGAGACATTACTGGAAGAGAGTGGAATCCCATTGGACTCTTTACGTCCTGTTCTCAACAGTGAGGGTGGGGGTGATGGGGCTTGTGAGATGGGAGCCACACAGCGATCGGCCGCATCCTACTCCCCACCACCAACTCCAATTGAGAAGCAAAAGAAACAGAAAATTGAACTCTCTCAACAGAGTAAAAAGCGTTTTTTTGCACAGCGTGGATGGTTGCGGCGGGAAAAGGGTCGTTAAGGTGGTTTGAATGAGATTTCACACTTTTAATTTCAGATCTTTGGAAAGAAGAAGAAACAAAAAAAAAAAAAAAGAAAACATATATTAGAAATTCTTTGAGTTTGTGTATTCGCTTTTTTATTTATTTATTTTTAAAAGAAAATTATTTTACATATTTACACGTTTTTCATTTTTATTTTCATTTTTTTTTTTCTTTTTTTTTTTTGGTTTGCTTTGCACACAGAGGTTTAGTCCCCATTATGACAGACACTTCTAGGGTGATTCCTCTCTAGAATTGCGTACTTGATGTTGGGGTATTCTTTTTTTTTTTGTTTTTTTGTTTTCTATAATCTTTCCAATAAAGGAAAGACTAGATAGAGTAAAAGAGCCAAGAAAAAAGAAAAAAAAAAAAGAATCATCTGTGGTTTCGTTATGTTAGAGGATGTGTCTTCATATGGCACCGTATCACTTTTGTGTTTGATGTTGAACACTCAATTAAACATCTTTCTGATGACATTGACATTTCATAAGAATTGCCCTTCACAACTTTTGTAATTTATTTATTTATTTATGCTGGGAATGTATATTTTAAAATGATAATTTACTGTATGGTCTTTTTTTTTTTTAAAGAATAAATACATACGTATACACTCTTTCTATATTTTATTTTACTCTTTTTTTCCCCTCCTTCTCTCTTGATGTATAAGAGTAGAGTGTCATTATTATTATTACTATTATTATCGTGATCATAAGGAAACGAGATTGGGAAAGTTTGAAAGACCCATCCACCCTCACGAAAAAAAAAAAACCAAGAAAACGAAGAAAACAAAAAAAGGCAGATAATAAGATATCAGCAAGAGAAAAGAAAAAATGGCTTCACGCAGTGATGATCAACGCCTGGGAGCTCTTTTCACCGCCGAACGTTTGGAAGATGCACATATTGTAATTATCGGATTCCCATATGATGAGGGATGTGTACGAAATGGAGGACGTGCTGGTGCTGCCAAAGGACCTGAGGCATTTCGAACCTTTTTACATAAATTGGGGCCTATAAACAATGTGGAATTTGGTGTGGACGCTTCTGATGTAAAGTTGTATGATGCAGGTGATATTAAAGCTGACACTTTGGAAGCGGCACATAAATTATTGGAAACAAAAGTTTCTGAAGTACTTTCACATGGATTACTTCCATTTGTTATCGGAGGTGGAAATGATCAATCCGCACCTAATGGAAGAGCGATGCTACGAACATATGCTGGAGATGTGGGTATTATTAACATTGATGCTCATTTAGATGTTCGTCCACGTCTTTCTGATGGAAAAGTACACAGTGGAACTCCTTTTCGTGAATTATTGGAAGAAAAAAGCTTTTCAGGAAATCGTTTTGTAGAGTTTGCCTGTCAAGGATCACAGTGTAGTGCGGTACATGTACAATTTGTAAAGGATCATCACGGTCATCTCGCGTGGCTTCGTGAAGTTCAGAGTAAAGGGGCTGTGGCGGCATTGGAAGAGGCATTCCGCTTAACCGGCAATAATACATTTTTCTCCTTTGATATTGACTCGGTGTGTTCGGCGGATGTGCCTGGTGTGAGTTGCCCCGCTGCGGTTGGTTTAAGTGCGCAGGATGCCTTTAATATGTGTTTTGCGGCTGGTAAGAATCCACATGTGCGAATGATGGATTTGAGTGAGTTAAACCCCGTTGTGGAGAACTACCGATCACCCCGTGTGGCTGTGAATATGCTGTACCACTTTGTCCTGGGATTTGCCACCCGACTGAAACTGAAACTGTAGAGGAAGGAGGGAAAAGAAAGAAAGAAGAAGAAGTGAAGGGATCAAGATTATGTTTCTTGGTGTTATTACTTTTTTTGATGGTTTTTTTTTTTATTTGTTGTTGTTTGTTTGTTTGATACCGTTTTTTTTTTTCCTTGGGGGGTAGGGGGTTTGAATAATGAGGGAAATCTTCCTTTTTTTTCGTCTAGTGTTGGTATTTATTTATTTATTTATTTATTTTTCTTCTTATATATATATATATGTTTGTTTTATATTGAATTGAAATCGATACACCTTAGGAAAAAAAAAAAAAAAAAAAAAACGAAAAAAACATGATCCCCTGCAAGTTTATTTTATTTTTTTTGATTTATTTCTCTTTTTTTTCCTCCTTATCTTCTTCTTATTTTTATTTTTCTCGTGATGGTTTGTATTTCCCTGCTTCTCCTGTTGTACACAACCACATTTATTTTTCTTTCTCTTCCTTGATCTCTGCTCTTGTGTATATACACACATACATACACATACAATTATATACGCACTTACTGACATTCATAGACCATTCGGTCCGGTAGGAACAAGGAGAAAAAAAAAAAGAAAAAAAGGAACAAAACAGTACCAAAGAAGAAAAATATATATATCAAAGAGAAAAAATAAAGAAAAAGAAAAAAAAAAAAATCCATACCTGTGACCAAGAACAAGAGAAGGGAAAAATAAAATATGTTGAGTCCCAAGGCGGCCACAAATGAAGCCTTAGTTCCCCACTCCGTGTTTGACAGCATGTATGATAATGTGATGTTCCCCATGCAAACACTCTACTGCCCACCCGTTCCCCCTTCAATGTTGATGGGTCGGTACAAACCACCACCGCGTCCAGGGCCAACTTACCGCAATGACTTATCCATCGCAGGCGCAAGAGAACATTGGGCACAGACACAAGTGGCACGTATGTGGCGTGGTATATTAACACGTCGTCGTTTACGTAATGAACGGAATTATTTTGAAGTACGTACAAGACGTGCTATCATGATTCAATGTTGGTGGCGACGTCTACGTGCTATTTGGCGTCGACGGGCATTACAAAAGATATTGGATGAGTGGGTGGTCAATCGACGTGAAACTATGGTGGCAGAGAGATTAAGAGACTATGGTACGATGATGACATGGCAGCGTAAACGCTTTGAAGACGCTGTGATAAAAGTACAGCGTGTGTATCGTTGGTATCGCAGTAATCGTATAAATCTCTTTGAGGAAGAAGGGACGAAGGAAAAGGAAAAGTTGCCATTTCCACTTAAACGACGAAAGAAGGTGTACTTCCCATGGCGACGACGTGCAACGCCTAAACAGGCCTTATCTGAAGGTCTGCAATCCACAAGTGATTCAAGGTCCATGCATTCAAAGAGTCGTAAATCATCATTGCAATTTCGAAAACATCGTCACTATCCGCAACCACCATCAGTTGAAGAGGCGAAAGTTATTAATGATGCTATGCGAGCACGTGAGGCGCAGCGGGAGGCCACACTCGCACAACCGGAAGTACAAGATCGTATGCAATGGAAACGTGATGGATTACGTGAGAATGATTTTGATCACAATGCTGGTTTGATTCAACGATTTGTACGGTATAAGTGGAATGGTTTGGAAAAGGAAACGCGAAAGATCACAACAGATTACTTTAACGCTAAAGTCAGTACCATTCAACGTGCTTTCCGTGTATTCAAAACCCTTCGACTCATTAATCAACGAGCCGCCGGCATGGAACGGCGTGCGAATCTTAAGAATGAAGCCTATGCAAGAGCTAAACTGGCGGAAATACGAGAAGAAGGCGCATGGCAAAGTAAACTCCTCGACAGTGCGGCTCGCACTATACAAATGCACTGGGCCCATTATATGTACAAAAAACAACAGTCGAATCCCTTCCGAGAGGAGGAACCCACAGACACCAGCGAGGGAGATGATATCACCATCACCACTACGGAAGAAACTCCATCCGTCAAGGCCGCCGCCGCGGAAGCCGCCGCAGAGGCAAAGAGGAAGGCAGCCGAAAAGGAGGCGAGAGCAGCAATTCCACCGCCGTATGGTTTGCTGAAGGAACACATTGGACGAGAGCACGCCATTCGCGATGCGGGCCGCACAAAGATGGAGAAGGAAATGGAAGAAGCACAGAAGAATATTCGTCGCTCCAAACGACGATATGTGCCAACTGAGATTATTACTGTTAGCGGTGAGGGCCTCTATCTTGAGGGTAATGTGGAGAGAAAGAGTGACTCGGGGGAAATGTAAATACAGAGAAGCAGAGAAACATGGAACAGAGATTAAACAAGAGAGAGAGAGAGAGAAAGAAGGAAAGAAAGAAAGAGTGAGTAAGTAAGTAAGTATGTGTGTTTGTGTTTGTGTTTCTGAAAGAGGGAGTTGAGAAGAATGAAGACAACTAGGAGGAAACTTCCCATGTGTGAAATACAAGAAGAAGGAAAAAAAGAAGAAAAGTATATACCATCAACAGAAAGAAATAGATGGAGAGAGAGAGAGAGAGAGAGAGAGAGAGAGAGAGAAAAAAAAGAGGCATGATAAACAAGAGACCAAATGACACATTTTTCCTTGTGTATTTATTTGTGCGACTATATATATATATATATATATATATATATATATTTCAGTTATATCCTTTTTTTTTTTGTGTGTGTGTGTATTATGTGTCGCTATATGTGATTTGAAGTAATCTCTTGTTGCTTTATGAAATGCAAAGCCTCTTTTTTCTTTTTCTTTTTTTTCCCTTCTTTCTACTAATATATATATATATATATATATATACACACATGTACACTTATCTCACTCACTCTCTCACTTATTCACTTATTTGCTTGATGTGGTCCAATTACGCTTTAACTATCACTGTTATCACACCAAGATGCAGGAGAACCGCCACTGGAACCGTGAAGAAGAAAGAAAAAAAAAGAAAAAAAAATGAATGAATGAATTACACGCAGACATCTTTCATGTATAGTAAATTTGGTTTTTGAAGAAAAATGGAGGGAACAAAACAATATATCAACAAGAAAAAAATATGCCCGAAAATGTATAGACGGTATTATTTCTCTTTCGGTTTATCATCTCTTTTTTTTTCACTTGTGTTTTTTTTTTTTTTCTTCGTTTTCTTTTTTGCTTCTTACCATGTTTCCACTTTTCATGTCTGGAATACCTCTGTGTCTCTGTTTCCCTTTCTTTCTTTATATATATATATATAGTGTATGTGTATGTCTGAGGTCTATGTTAATTTAACTTGTGTTTTTTTTTTCCTCTCTCTCTCTCTCTCTCTCTCTCTTCTTTTATCGCTGTTCTTTTTACTATTGACTTAAAGCACCGCCGAGTAAGAGGCAATAGGGTGTCGGTGAAGATAGAAAGAACAAAGAATTAAGGAAAAAAAACAACGAGTGAAGTAGAGGAAGAGAAAGTTATTTTTTTCCTTTGTCTTGTAATCATCACGATTACATCACACAAACGAAAGAAAAATAAAAAGAGAAGGACTGTAATAAAAAGAAAAAGAGAAAAAAAACTGAAGGAGAAAGAAAAAAAAAAGCATAAAAAGGGTAAAAAAACAAAACAACTACAACAGCAACAATAGTATCAGTGAAAGGAAGAAAAGAAGAGGCCATTGTCTTTCTGAGCGTATCTACACCTTTATCATTCCGTGAATCCCATTACTTTATCAGAGTTTCCATTTATATATTCTAATTGGCTCTCTCTATATCTATATCTATATCTTTGTCTCTCTCTCTCTATTCCACACACACAAAGAGAGAGAGAGAGAGAGAGTAAAGAGAAGAAGAAAAAGAAGAAACAGTGTTGATTGGTAAATGTCTGGGAGGCATATGAACAGAGAACATCGATCGCCTCCAGCCCGGCAGAGGGTAAAGGAACAAGATCATCAAACAAAACAAACAGGAAAAGCCGCGGATGTTCGTTTTACAAGCAGATCTGGTAGATCTCTACACAGTAGCAGACTCTCCCCACTTCATAAGAGACAACAAGGCGAACAACAAGAAGAAAAAGAACAACATCAACATCAACATCAACAACAACAACAACAAACAAAAGAGAAACCGAAGAGTCAAAGAGGAAAATATGTTTCTTCCTCTCCAATGACACAAAAAGGTTCAAGTACGGTATCTCCTGGAGTGTCGAAGAGTTCTGTCGCGAAGGAACGTCCATCGGCACGTAGAAATAATAAAAGTGATAATGTACTACACATTGTGGCTCCTCTTGTCCCTCCTGTTGAGAATGAATTGACGGCTAATGGATATGTACAAGCAGAAGTTCTTTTACCTACTTCTACTTCAGATAGTAATATGAATTTGTCATTCTCTCGATTTGCTCCCTTAACAGAACGTTCGGCTTCTCATGAAATGGAAATTACCACCAATCCAGAGAATGGTGTAAAAAATGAAGATGAAATTAATACCAGTGCTGTTTTTGGAGAATTTCTTACAGATGATATGTTACGTGAATGGACAGGTTGGGAAGATCTTCATTTGGTGCTTTCAGCTGAAATGCATGTAGATGCTGTGCGTACATTAGGTGTGGATACACTTAGTGAAAGGATGCCTCTCTTACATTCACTCAGGTTAAATAGTTCACGTATTCCACAGATAAGATTACTTGGAACAAAATATATGAATTTAAAACGACTTTGGCTTCGAGGTTCACGTATAGAATGTTTACGTGGAATTGGTGCTTGTGCTCCTTTATTAGAAGAATTATATGCTTCCTTTAATGTAATTAACGATATTACACCTTTATTGGATTTGAGTGATACGTTGGAAGTGGTGGACTTGGAAGGAAATGAAATTCGTGACAGTAACACTTTAATCCAGTCTCTTCCACTGTTACGAAAAGTAAAATATTTAACATTACAAGGAAATCCTGTAGAGATGTCATATTATACTTTTAAAGAATCCTCCACGGCTTCAGAAAAGGGTCTCTCTCCTCCACCCTCATTTCGTGATTTTGTACGTTCCCTTATGCCAGATCTTCAATATCTAGATGATATTCCCCTTACTGAAAATGATACTACGCATGCGCATTCCTCTACAACTACAACTACAACTACAACGACAATGACGAAGACAAAGACAAAGACGTTAATACCACCAAAAGCAGAAGATAATCATACAGAGGAGGATAAACAAGATACATCTCTTGTTGAAACAAAAAAACGTAATAGTAATCATGTGGATCCTCTTAAAGTCTCTTTATGTGATGAGTATATGTTTTTACAACAGTGTATACGTGAATCTGGCTTTGATGCCTTGGATGCTGCTGTGGAGGATGAGACACGATCATTGTATACACGACCACAGACATCCTGTGCAGGAGCCCGTCCTCGTCGTTCATCACTCTCTGCACATGTAAACAATAATCCACGTGCCTGCAGTTCTGCCAACGCGGCAGGCAGACGACCCATTTACAATAATAATAACAATACACGTACACCTCCTTCGGCTACGTTTCCTCCTCCTAATGTAAGTACTCATAGTAGTGGAACGAGTACGAATGTGTCTCCGTCTACGTCGTCCTTAACCGTTGGACGGCCAATGGTGGGAGGAAGTGCTGTTAGTCTTCGCCGTCGACTACCACCACTACACCCATCATCCGCAACTCACAATATCAGCAGAGTTGATAGTAGTAGCAGTAAGAGTGATAGTACACAAAGTGCCGTAGATGGAGGTCAACATGGGCGTTTAAATAATGGAATGATGTTTGCTGTAAAGGAAAGGGATGATCGTGTTATTCTGGATCAGGATGAATTACAGTCTTTATTATCTACCGCCCCTATACGTATGAATGATCTTTCTCTTGATGTACCATTATTTGATGATGAAGATGAATGGGAAATGTACAAACAGAGTTTACTACGTCGTGTGGATTCACAAAATATGAATGCACAGCGTTGGATTAAGTATGTGAACAGTGAATATGCTAATTCTTCGCATGGAGACCACGAAAATGTGGGTCTCTCTGGTTGTTCATACTCCACATCTGTACGAACCACATCCGCAAGTAGTAATCCAACTACTCTTTCCAATACGCAAGAAATGAATGCTGGACAATTGCCGTCCACATCATTAACATCTACGCACGTAACTCCACCAGCGTCAACCGCAGCAGTAGCCGTCGTGGTTGAATCTATAGAGAGTTGTGCGGCAAGTGAAGAAGTTTCTCCTGATGATAAGTTCAGTAAAGTAAGGGATGTGGAGGAAAAAGGAAAAGGCGAACGGGAAAAAGAAAAGTTGAATGATGATGAAATTAAAGAAGAAGAAGAGAATTGGCGTCAGGAATTACTACGCTCAGTGGTGCGATCGCGAACAAGAACAGCTCGTGCTGGTATGAGTGGGAGATCTTTACGTCTGGGTGATGTCTATAATGATGGGATGACAACATTTGAGTTCCTAGACAACGGTGATGTGTAGTTTGGCGTACAGTAGAAATCAAAGAAAATAAAATAAAATAAATAAATAGAAAGAAAGAAGCCGCTAGATAAAAAAAAAAAAAAAAAAAAAAAAGACTGTAATTTTAAAGGAAAACTGAGAAACAGCTCTATCCTTGATTATTGTACAATTATATATATATATATATATATGAGACTTGAGGCCTCAGAAGGAAACTATATGAAGAAGGAATATACTAACACAGAACCCCTTTACACCAAAGGGGGTGGAAATCTTATGACGATTGTTTTTTTTTTTTTTTCTCGTTATTCCCATTGCACATGTACAGAAAAAGAAAAAAATTGTTATTATACTTCTCCATCACTCATTGTATAGAAATGAAATTTAAAAAATAAAAATAAAAATGCCTCTGTAGCTATTCGTGAGGTATGAGAATTCTTTAGAGAAGAGAAAGAGTGATAGAGAAGTTAAAGAAGTAAAAAATATTAAAAAAAAAAAGAAATGGGGGCATGGAGTGGAAAATGGTAAAAGAGTGAACAATATTAACTTGAAGGATAAATACAAAATGCAAAATAGTCCCCCTTTTCGTAGAGGGCTGGAAGTAAATTTGAAAAAAAAAAGAAAAAGAAAAAAACGTCTGGAAATGTATAGCTACTATCGCGTATACGGGATTAACATATATATATATATATATATATATATATATATGATTAGTTTGTGTGCGTATGTGTGTTTATAGTCTTTCTTTTTTTTTTTGTGTGTTGGAAAAAAGATTTGATCGTATCTATCTCAGTATGAACGTCTGTGGAAGTGATGAAAAATGATATTATTATTATTATTATTATTATTATTATTCTGACAAGTAATAAAGTGTGAGGAAAAAAAAAAAAAACAGTAAAGACCAACGTGTCAGCAAATGAATGGTATTATTGTGCATGTTAGCTCTTTTCTTTCTTTTTTCCTTTCTTTCTTTTTGTTTGTTTCTTTCTTCATATTACTGCAAATACTGTGAATGATTATTTATTGATAGAAGAGAGAGAAAAAGAAAATTTATGTTTAGCTGCAGTCACTGTGCTGAAGGGGTGTGTTTGTTTGTTTATAATGGAATACACCATGTAATACGTTTTTATCTTTTTTTTTGTTTTCTGTTTGTACTTTTTTTTTTTTTTTGAATCCTGATGGTTGTTTCTATTGTTATTTATGTGTTTTCTTCTTTGTTTGTTTGTTTGTTTGTTTAATCCCCCCATCTTTTTTTTTTAATCTCCTTTCAGTCCTTTTTTTTTGTTTTTATTGCAATTTCTTTGTTATTTTCGTTTTTGCTACCCTTCATCTCCCTTAGCGGGACTTCATCCAACCCCCTATTGACCATTCACTCATTTACTTTACTAGGCGTTCATAATAATATACTCTATGCTCATATATATATATATATATATATATATATATATATATATATATATAATGTAATGGAGATGGATTGAAAGAGAATGAATGTGTTTATGACTCATACGAATAGAGAGGGGTGAATACCTATTATGTGTATAAGAATATACATATATATATATATATATAGTGCACATAGTAGGTATCTATGTATACATAAATCAAATCTGTAAGAAAGAAAAAAAAAATCAAAGAAAAAATCACACGTAAATAAAAAAAAAAAGAGAAAGAAAAAAAAAAACAAGGAGAACTTTTCTCTCATTTATTTTTGTTTCTTACTCTTTCAAATGTAAACTTTTATGTTCTTTTATTACTGATTATTATTATTATTATTATTATTATTATTTTGCTTTCTTTTGTTTTTCCTTCTTGCAAAATTTATCATCTATTTCAAAGGGATCACTGGGGTGAACTGGATACAAAGAGCGACCATGGCAAAAAAAAGAAAAAAAAGGAAAAATTAAATTGAAGTGAATAGTGAATAGTGAATAAAAACAATTTTTATTTTTATTATTATTATTATTTGGATTAATTAAGATTAAATCACGTAGTTGTGAATCTTATTTCTTCCTTTGATTGAAATCAGCGAGAACGTTTACGTATATACGTTTACCTATATATATATATATATATCCATCTGCTTTTTCTTTTCTTTTTTTTTTTGTCAGTTGTTGTTATTTTTCCATTTGATTTTTCTCCTTCAACTGTTTCTGCTGCTGTTCTTTTTTTACGTTTATCCTTCGACTTGCACTCTATTGATTCTTTTTATCTATTTCTCTCAGTGTGTATTACGTACATGGGTTTGACCCCCCCCCCCCCCACTTTCACTATGATTTCTATCTATCTATATATCTCTTTCTCTGTATATATTTATTGCTTTTGTATATATTTACATAAAACCCTCAAAGGGAGATGTATTGTTCTAATTGCCTCATCTCATTACTATTTTCTTTTCTTTTCTTTCTTTTCTTTTGTGTGAATTTACTCACCTGCATGGATAATCATTGTTTATTTCAGTACGAGTTATTTGAGTGAAAAGACGGAATAGGTAAAGAGTATCAACACAATAGAAGAGAAGAGAAGAGAGTCTCATTGTGGAACTATATACAGACAGAGAACTAGGCCGAACTAAAGAAAGAGAAAAAAAAAAACTATCAATTTAAACAAGGAAGAAAAGAAAGAAAGAAAAAGGAAAACATAAAAAAGGAAAAAAAAGAAAGGGGTAAAAAAAAAAAAAAAAAAAAATAAAATAAATAAACAAAACATATTCAACAAGAGTGGAAATCAAGAAGAAGTATTAAACATCATCGAACCACTCATCTATTTAAGAATTGAGAAGATCATTTTTTTTTTTTATTTTATCAAGAAAAGAAAAAAAAAGAAAAAAAAAGGAAAAAAAATGCCGTGCGAGGGTTGTGGAATGTTAGAGGCCGGCCTGCAGTGCCCAACATGTAAAAAGTTGGAACTCCCCCCGAGTTTCTTCTGCACGCAGGAGTGCTTTAAACAACACTGGAGTGAACATAAGGCCAAACACACACAAACCGCACAGGCGACTATTCCAACAATGACAACAGCGGCGATGAATGCATTTAACTTCACAGGGCCACTGCGGCCGGGAAAAATAACTCCACGAAGAAGTGTACCCGCGCATATTCCTCGTCCAGACTACGCTGATCGTCCTGATGGTGTTTCTCCTTCAGAGGAAAAAGATCGGGGAAATAAAGTAAAGGTGTACAATTTGCAATCTCTACATGATGATAGCAAGACAACATCAGAGATTCAACGTGTAAAGAATGTCTGTCGACTCTCTCGTGAGGTTCTTGATATCGCAACAGCAGCAGCTCGTCCTGGTGTTACCACAGATGAAATTGATCGAATCGTTCATGAAGCCACTATTGAGCGTAGTATGTATCCATCACCGCTTAATTATTATAACTTTCCAAAATCTGTTTGTACTTCTGTAAATGAGATTATTTGTCATGGTATTCCAGATTCACGGGAATTAATGGAAGGTGATATTTTAAACATTGATGTTTCTAGTTATCTTAATGGATTTCATGGAGACTTAAATGAAACTATATTTGTGGGAAAACCAGATGCTGATAGTGTACGCTTAGTACATGCTGCATATGAATGTCTATGCGCTGGAATAGATGTGGTGAAGCCGGAAGCACTTTATAAACAAATAGGTGATGCGATTGAGAAGTGTGCCTCTCAATATAACTGTTCTGTTGTTCGCACCTACACAGGACACGGCGTAGGTCATCTTTTCCACACTGCCCCGACAGTGTGTCACTACGCTAATAATAAAAGTCTTGGGATGATGCGTCCTGGACATGTGTTTACAATTGAGCCAATGATCAACTTGGGGACTTGGCAGGATGTGACGTGGCCGGACAATTGGACGAGTTCCACACGAGATGGAAAGCGAAGTGCACAGTTTGAACACACAATGGTGGTGACGAATGGGGGAGTGGAGATCTTAACAGACTGGGTCGATGGCGTCCCAACGTATCAGAAACAACTGGAGCAGATGGGAATTCCACTTCCTGTACCCAATAATGAGGCGTAGAGATGAATGAAGTTATCATACATCTATCTATATATATATATATATATATATATATATATATACTTCACATTGGGATTCATACACAGAGTTCATTTTTATTGATTGAATTGAATTGAATTGAATTGATTAGCACTGGTGCCAAAAATTTCTCGATTGTTGGAGGTAGTATTTGGATTTCCAGTAAAGCGTGGATTGTAAAAGGAAGATTATGAGGAATGGCGTGACTGCACACGTGCGGTCTTTTTTTTAAAAGAGAAAAGAAAAACGAAAAAAAAAAAAAGAAAGAAAAAGAAAGCGATGGGTGTGAATATAATGGAAGACATCATGAAGAAAAGGGAAAGAGAGGAGGAGAGTGAAGAGTAGTTGTAGAGAATCTGAAATGAAAGCCACATAAAACCCTCTCAAAGGGGTGAACGTTAAGGCATTAATGCATTTCTCTCTCTTTTTATTTTATTATTTTTTTTTTTCGCTTAACTCTCTTTCTCTGATTTTCTTTCTTTCTTTCTTTGTTTCTCACTCTCGCTTTCTTTTTTTCACTCACTCTCTTTTTGCCGGAGTGAAACGAGTGTATATCTCTCCATGTATTTGTGATAAGAGTGATATGTGGGAGTTATTATTAATGATATTGTATTTATATTGCTATAATAATGCAAGTTGAACCTATCTCTCTCTCTCTCTCTCTCCGTCTATACACATATATATGTATTTCTTTTTTCTTCTCTCTATTCTCTGTTTATGGTTTTTTTTTTTTCTTTTTATTTATTTGTTTGTCATTAATATAATCTACAAGTAAGTTGATTGATTAAAGTGCCGCAAAATAGAGTAAAGTGACAGTGCACTTAATTCACATCTATACACCCAAAAGGGTCTGAACTTGGAAGAAAGAAGAGAAATAGAAAAAAAGGTAGGAAGATACAATTGGATTTTTGACATTCTGTAGAAAAACAAAAAAAAAAAAAACAAATCCATTATACCATGCAACGTGAGGTAATAAAGTGGCTTCAATCACTTGACTTAACATATCAAGTGAAATACCCTCAACAAGATCTTTCCAATGGCTTTATATTGGCAGAGATTGCCAGTCGCTATGATCGACGTGTTGCCATGCACAGTTACGTGCCTGGTTGCTCAACCGAATGTAAACGACGTAATTGGAAAGTATTACTTCGGGATTTGGCTCGCATTGGCTGTACCACTATCACTAAAGAAATGGCAGAGGCGACCATACAAGCAAAGCCAGGCGTCGCTATTACAGTGTTGGAGAATTTATATGAATTTTTCTACGGCCGCCCAGTCCCTGCAAGGACGAAAGATAATACTGAACAGGTAACTGCCATGGTGAAAGTGATTGACACCCTCAGTGAGAGAAAAGAACCAACCCCTACATCTTCGCAGAAGGAAAGATCACTTCCATTATCTTTACAGGTAATGGAAAATGATGAAATTGCACTTGGAAGTGGTTTACAAAAACCAGGATTTGCAAGACCTACAGCATCTACATTATTACATGTTGCTAATCGAGAAACACGAAATGCTCAATTAATTGCTTCTGTTCCTCCAGATGAATTAAGAGTATTAAAACGGAATGAAAAGATTTTAAATGAGCATGAAATTCTTCATAAGGCATATCGTTATGCGGAACCTCACCGGTTTGCACCTGTTAGTCATCAACGTCGTGTACTTGCGGAGAAAAAGAGCCGAAAAGGAGTAACAGGACCTAAAGGAATTCATGATGCTCATCGAAAAACTGTAGAAAGAGTATCTGTTGTAGAAGTAAATACATTAAATAAGAAACTTCTTGGTGCACTTCGTTCTCGACAGAATAGTTTTGATGGAACAGGGGAAAGGGGAATGGATGAGTCACCAGAGAGAAAAGCAAGAGTCGTATTAGAAGAATGTGGTAATGATCTTCGTTTAGGATTATCAAAATTAATTGATATTGCATTGGAATCCAATTGTTTTGGTGATGTTTTAGAAGATTTAAAAAATGAAGAAGTTCAACCTGATATTTTATCTAATTTTGTAGGTCAACGTGAACAAATGCCCTTTGGAGCTGTTCTTGCCTGTTGGTCTTCACTTTTATCTGCCAGTGATGGCATTGCCTCTACACTTCTTATTCGTCCAACGGAGTATATGTATCTCTTACGAGCAATACATTTTATTTTCGCTGCTGAAGTTGTTCACATTCGACTTTTACACGTGTCAAGTTCACAGGAAAAAGATTCCGTCTTGCAGGGAGGACTTGATACCACAAATAAAGTTCCACGTGGAGGTCGTCGGGCTCAACGTAGTATGAGTGTGTGTGATTCCATTCTCATGTTAACAGATTCTGTAAAACCTCAACAAGCGTTATTTTCAAATGAACGTGTATTTAATGTAACTTCTGCTTTTTCTTTCTTTTGCCGTATTGGTGCTTCTTTGCATGCTATTTCACCTTCAGCGGCACTTTCACTGTTGACTATGTATTTTATTCCAACAGCATCGCCATTGTTTTTAACAGCGAGTGTGGCCATTTTGGAGGCGATTGCCCGAGTTGTGGTGTCTCATGTCTGTGGAGATGGTTCTGATGAAATTATCACAGAACGTCCATCCATTCATGTGGATTTGTCTGGAAAGGAACAACAACAACAACAACAACAACAAGGACAGGAATCTCATGAAGAACAAAAGAAACAAATAATTCCAAAATGGAATGCTATAGAAGAATTGAATAATCTTCTTACTGGACCCATTAAGGCAGCATTTTTTCAAAATGGAACGAATAAATCTACTACTAGTGGTACACAACAACAACGGATTCAATATAATCTTTTTATATACCAAGTTCTTTCTCATGCTCGAACTGTTTTAGATATGACTGCTGAAGTAATGATAGAAGAGGAAGCTAATGCATCACTTTCATTATTAGCACCTCGACATTATTTATCTTCACTACTAGATGTATGTTCACGTAGCGTTTATCCTTCTCTTGGTTCACTTTCCCTACATGAACGCTCTATTGGAGTAGCTATGCTACTACAACTTATCGCATGTGATCAATGGGAATTGGCTATTGATCCACTTGTTTTTGTTATTTCTGAACTGCGAAGGTCTAATAATACCGAAGGTGGTGGTGTTGGTGGTGGTGGTTTACTTCAACGAGCTGCAGAAGCCTGGGAAATTCGTGTACTTTTACTGGAATTACTCACAACCGCCTTTCGTAAGGCATTATATGTAATGGCTGATGAGTGTGAAGAAGTAGAAAATAGTACAACAATGCCACCTTCTTCTTCTTCTACAAGTTCAAGAGTTTCTCTTCTTGCCCAAATCATTAAACAAAAAATGGATTTCACTGCCCTTGAAGAAGCCACTGTATATTGTCTTTTACAATTCTCAGATGCTCCTCTTTTACAACGTCAATTGGCTCTTCAAATCGTTGCCCGACGTCTTCTTCCGGATGAACAACGTCAAGTCGCGGCTGTCTGGTTGCGGGGTTTATTTGTTTTCTCTGTGGATCAATTAGACTTTCTCCTCCGACCACACGAGGCGGAACCACTAAACATGCCGGATCCCACAGAAGCCACTCAACGCCGTGCAATTCCATCCGCCACCACAAGTCGTCGTGCAACTATTGTGGAGGATGTGGAAGAGAGAAGTGTGATTTCTTCTCTGCGGGTTTTGTTGGGACGTGTGGAGCCCGCATATGTTGTGGCCCCACTCAATCAATCATGGGATACATTTAGTGTCGTACAGGCGGCATTAATGTTTGAGGATATACTCACAACGGCTCAGTTGTTTTCAGTTATCTTGGCAGCCTTGTTAAGTCCACAACATCATGAAACTCAACGGGTACGACTTATGCAGAATCTTCGTGCGGTTAATATTGTTTCTTCAGAAGGAGCTGTAGTGGATATACGGAGTGGTAGGAATTCTGAAACGAAAGAAGAATCTTCTTATTTTTCTGTTCATAAACATTCCGACGAGGATGAAGAAGATACCGCGGCGCTGACGTTTACACTTCGAAGTCTAGTGGGAATGGAAGGTCGAAAGGGAGTGACAGCTGTGGAGGTGGTGAAGGATAAAACTAAAGAAGAAACCAATGATGATGATGATGTTAACGAGAAACCAGAAACAGGTGAAGCGACTGAAACTGTAAATAAAGAAAATGATATTTTAGAAATGATGGAATCACATGTAAAGGCATTTTGGTCCTCTGTTACACGTTTGATTAAACCACAACTACAAGAATGTTTACATCAAACTGGGAATAATGTATTAGCGACAGGGAAAGAAGATGTGCGGTCAGTCTGCCGTATTTCAGCATCGGAGGATATTGCGCAATTACAAGATCTCGCAATGGCAGTACTGTTCACACTACACCGCCGTTATGGCGGTTCTTCTTCATCTACTGGTACTAATACTAATACTAATACTGCTGCTGCTCTTACACCTAATGAAAGTCGACTTAATGAGGCTCTTCATTGGTTGGAAAATATGTAGAGTGAATGATACAAGTTTTTTTCTTTTTTTTTTTTTTGTTTTTGTATTCCTTTTATTTATTTTTTTTTTTTTTCTCTTCTCTTGATGATTTGCTTTTCTTCTTGTACATATTATACTTGTTACTCTTATGCTCTTCCCATGTATGTACGTACTTGCTGAGAATTTTGGGTTAAAAATGAGAGACATGGAAATAGAGAAAGACAACCTCTTATATATATATATGAGAGTTGGTTATTATTCTCGTTAATATTGTTTTTAAAGAGAGGCTGCAGAAATTTCTATTACTTGGCAAATAAGACAAAAAAAAAAAACGTTCTTTTCTTCATTTTTATTTATTTTCTTTATTTATAGGTAAACAGAAAGAAACACAAAACGAAAGGGAAGTATAGGTAAGGGTGTTGTAGGGAACGTAAAGAGAAACTTTTTAGTTCTCTTATACTCAACTTCAAGACCACTGTATAGTGAAGAATATATATATATATATACCTAACGTAAAACCAGGTGTAAAAGCAAATACAAGTAAAGAATCCGAGAAGCATATTTACAATACAGAGAGAATAACGAAAAAAAAAAAGGAGTGAACCAAAACCGTAAAGAAAAAATTAAAAAAAAAATATATATAGCCAAAAACAAATGAATCGGGAAAATACTCGCTTGTTACGATTTCTTTTGGGATGTGGGTGTCTTTTAACACTCACACTCGCTGCCTCACAGGCGGAGGCCGTTACACTGGGATGTGAGAATGTTTGGACTGGCCCAAATGCAAACAATAGTATTTCCGATTGTCTCAAGAATAGAGATCGTATTGGAAAATATTGGCGATATTATGTGTATCCTGGATTTGCAGCTCTTTTCTTCGTACTATTGTTACTGTTGTTTCCATTCTTTTTCTTGTTTTGCATTTGTAATGGTTGCTGTTGCCGAAAAAATTGTTTCCCTACAAGCCCAGCCCAACACTATAATGGAAATTGTTTTTTATTTTTACCATCCGTTATAGCTATACTTTGGGGAGCTGGTGCCACTGTTGCTATTATTATGGGTGCCCATACCATGTATACAGGTGCCAGAGATGTAGAGAACGCGGCAAGAGAAAAAACGGCTCTCTACTTCAATAATACAGCAAATAATGTTTTAAAATATGCCTCATCTAATGCTACTAGTGGTGAAGAAGGAGGATCATCTGATGTACCTGCAGCTATTGTATCTGGTGTAAATGTCATGTTTGATGTTTCCGCGAAAATTATTAAAAATATTGATGACTTTGATGATAAATATTTTAAATATGTGAGGGACGCCGCTATTGTTTCTTATGCTCTTGGAGCATTACCCTTTATTTTATTATTATTTACACTTTTATTTGCCCTTAAACGTATTTCAAGGGGTGTACCTGCATGTTTCTCATGCATTTATTTCGTTGTGGCCCTTGTATTCTCCCTATTGGCTATTATCTTTCTTGGAGCGGCATATTTCGCCAGTGCGGCTAATGGAGAAATGGAAAAACAAATCAAGCGTCAATCTGGTGTCTTACAGTGGTATGTGGTTCCATACATGTCATCTCATTATATACCGGGATTGGTAACTCTGGATACGGCGCTACGTGGTCTCGTGACAGAGCGCTTACAGACATTCTGCACTTCTCTCAACAGTAAGTGTGATGCACTTCCGGATTTCACGGTGACGAAACCATTTTTCTGTGAAGCCCCCGTGGAGTGTGTGTCGAGCAGTCAGCTGATGGAGTTAATGCGCACAATGCCGGTGAAGGATCCAACACTGTGCACACCAGAGGCCTCCGACGCGCCCAGCGAGACTTCATGCACCGTCGCCACCTGCGAGACCCGCTGCGGGATGATGGGCGCCGATCCAAACGCCGTCACCGCGCGGAATGCCAGCGTGGAGGTCATGGGACTCCTGCGCGTTAGTAACAACGCCACCATCGCGGAGAACTTTGTGCGGCCACTGCAGGAGCCAAATGCGATTGCAGATACATTACTGTGGGCTGGCGCCTCACTGCCGGATGTGCGCGAGGGATTTTGGATGGCGGGAACGGGATACTTTATGGATACACTGATGCTCATACTCGGTCTCTGCGTTATGCTGCGTGGACGAACAGTGTGGGGTGATTATATGCCGAGAGATAAGAAGGCATAATTTATCACAGAAGGTATTGTACAAAAAAAAGAGAAAGAAAAAAAAAAAAAGGGCAAAGGGAAAGATTGTAAATATTAGTGAATGAGATAGAGAAGAAGAGAGGGAAAAAAGGAAAAGGAAAGGGATATTTGAATGTGTAAGAGGTCTAGAGAAGAAGAAGTAGAGGAACCAAGAAGAAGAGAGAGAGAGAGAAGAATACGAAGAAAAAAAAAGGGGGTAAGACACTCAATGCAAATAGAAAGGGAGAGATGTAAATGTATGTATATATATATATATATATATATATATGTGTGTGTGTGTGTGTCTGTGTTATTATTGTTGAGGTGATGGAACAATAAAGGAAGTGTTTGTTTTTTTTACTTGTAAACATACACATCTCTTTCCTTTTGTTCTCCCGATATTAGTAACGGGTTAAATTGAATAACAAAAAGACATAAAGATTGAGTGAACCAAAGTAGGAAGAATACATGGAGTGGAGACGTATTCGGCATGGTTTCTAGTACATGAAGTAAGAGTTTTCTTTTCTTTTTTCTTTTTTTTTTATTTAGATGACACTTTTCTTACCTCATATTGTGTATTTGTCTCTATGTATACCTATGTGTTCTTGTGAATGTGAAGAATGTTTTCATTTTCGGAGGGAGTTTCTCCACTTAGAAGGAAATAAAGGCAGGAGTAACTCCTATTCTTCAGCAAAGAAAACGGAAAACTCAAAAAAAAAAAAGAAAAAAAAAACAGGAAAGTTCCTCAACGAAAAAGTAGAGAGGACTTTATATATATATATATATATATGTATATATATATATATATAAATTATGCTTATTATTTGTGGGCTACTTCCATTGAAGTAAGTGATACGAAGCAACCTCAGAGTAGAGTGAAGGTTGTTATTGTTGTTGTTCCCTATGATTATATGTTTCCATCGTTTTTTTTTTTTTTTTTAATATTTGTTTTTGTAAATATTTTCTTTAGATGTGCACCACAACTTTTTTTTGTGTTTGTTAGTGTTACTCAACATATATATATATTTATATTTAAATATTTATATTTATATGTATGTTATTTTGGTCATTCTTTGTTTGTTCGTTTTTTCACTCCTCTCTTAGTTTATTTCGTCTCACTTTGTGCAATGCGGCGCGACGGTTTAATTTATACTGTGGTGTTATTGATTTTTATTTCTTTTTTATTTTATTTTTCATTGCCCTCTAATTTTCATTAGCAAACAAAAATAATAATGATCATAATCATAATGAGAAGAACAAGAAATTCCCTGATGATATCTCCTTTCCTTCTGTTTTTATATTTTCTCATTATCACTCCATTTTTCTCTTTCTCTTTTTCCCTCTTTCTTTTTTTTTTTTTTTCTTCTGTTTATTTCTTTTTTCACTCTCAGCGAAGCAGAGAACGGCATAGGCGGCCTCTGATGGACTTTGATGACTCCACAGACTCTGATGAACGAATGTCGGCAGCACACGAGCAACAAAGAAAAGAAGAAGAAGAAGAAGACTCGACATCATCGCAGAGTAGTACGATATCTTCCCCAATCATAAAATCCCAGAGAGTTCAACAAACACACAAGAAGAAAAATACTTCTTCTTCTATTTCTTCTTTATTTTCTTCCGCTGCTGAGCATGATAATGATAATGATAATATAATATCTGCTGCGGATGATGTGCAGACACTTGTGATTAAAGACCCATTGGAGGATGTGGAGAATGGTGTTCGGTCCTTATCATCATCCTCATTATTATTATTATCCCCAGAAGGAAAAGGAAGAGGAAGAGGAGAAGGAAGAGAAGGATGTGAAGAGTGTAGTGAACCTCTTCACCATCAATTAGTAGACGCTGAGGATGTGCAGCAGCGGCCATCGGCTCGTCACGGTTTAATCGCAGAGATGAGTACTGGACGTCTTGGAAGCACTGGAAGAGTTCCGGAAGAAGAAGAAGAAAAAGAAGAACATCAACAACAAAAAGAATATGATGATATGGAAGAAGAACGTGAAGTCTATGAAAATGATTTTGATGATAATAGAGGTTATGAAGAAGAAAAAGAGGAAGAAGATGAAGATGAAGAAGAATACGAAAAATATGAGGATGAAGAAGAGAGTTACGGTGATGATTATGATGATGATGATGATGATGATTATTATTATTATGAAGGTACAACAGCTGCTGCTACTGCTACTGCTGTGACGGCTCCTACAACAACAAATAATACTAATACTACGAACAGAATAGATGCTATCACTACAGTGCAGGATCAAGAGAGTGCTGTAGTGATAGAAACATCAAAAGATTGGGATCAGGCGCTTAGTCAAATGGAGATGATGGATACAACACTTATGACTCACTTTTACATTGGGTATGATTACTGTTGGGCAACCAATACAGGGGAAAATGAGGAATCTGCATATGAAACGGAAACTATGGTGAAAATGATATCACCTCTCTATATGAATCCAATACCGAAATCGAATGAAACCTATGCTGTAGAGAATAATAAAAATGAAAAAAAGGAAGAAAAAGAAAAAGATATAAAATCTCGAGAAATGACACTCACTACGTTAAAATGCCTCGCATCACATATTTTATCAATGCAAGACGCCCTTGCAGAAGAGGGATTGACTGTTGATAACTCACAACGGAGAAAACAGCAACTGGCAGATGAATATATGGGAGGAGGAGGAGGAGGAGGAAGTACTGATGTGAATCCTCGAAATATAATTTCTCGTGGTATTCACTCTGTTCATGTGGATTCTTCTTGTCGTTTGATAGGTGTATTAGATGTTGATACTTGTTCTGTGAGTTTATCTGATGTTATTGCTTTCAGTGATCGTCCATTCTCTCAAGAGGAATTAGTGGCACTTCTTAAATCTATTATAGGAAAAGTAAGTGCATTACATAATGCTGGATTTGTTCATGGTTGTCTACATGGTGGAAATATTCTCTGTTGTACAGATGATGGACGAACTGTATTAACAGGAGTTTCTGGTATTATGAGTAATCCACTACTTCCTGCAGATCCTTCTTTTATTTCTCCACGCCTTGCAGCAGCAATGCAACCACTTGTGGATCGTGTGTGGAGTTATGAGAAAGATATGGGTAATGGTGAAACATTTCCATGGGCATCAGATCCAGAATTTCATCGTGGATTATTAGAATTATACGGTTGCGGAGATGAAAGTGAAATGCGACCACGTAGTTCAGATGATGTGTATGCTATTGGTATTATTACACTATCTTGCTTATTTGGGGTTCCACCTTTTCATTTCGCAACACTAAAGGAAGTTGTTGAGGTTTTGGTCCCTTATTATTATGATTGTAAAAGTTGTAATAACAGTAATAGTAGTAGAGGCAGCAGTGATACATCCTTATTAGGAATGGTATTCACAAGCAGTTACGCAATGCGATGGTTTAAACTTGCAGGTTATTCAGAGGAATTTATAGATACAGCATTAGATTTTGTAGAGACTTGTCTCCGTGCTGGTGTGGGTGAAACAATAGGATCAGTGGAAATGGCAGGTGATTTACTTCAACATTCTTTTTTTGTGAAGTATCCTATTGTTGGAAAAATAGATGGTAACAGTGAAATAGGAAGTAATAATAATAATAATAATAATAATAATAATAATAATAAAGAAGAAGAAGAAAATGTAGATGATGTAGATGAAACTGTGTGTATAGATGGTATTATTCATTATCTTGTATACCCAATATTTGCTGTCCTTGGAAATACAAAGAAAGATTGTGGTACAACACCAATGATGACACGATTATACCGTAATTCTATCTTCGCTGCTCGTTGGGATGCATTACAGTTTGGAGTAAAGTGTGATGCACATAATAATGAACTTTTCTTTGGAGATGCCGTAGGTGTTTTATGGCCTTATTTAGATAGACAAATTCCTAAATGGTGTAGTTACAATGGTTTAGGTAATCAACGAGAACCAAAATGGTCTAGTTTGTTGTATCGTGCCTCACGAAAAAGAAGATTTTCCTTATCTGAAATTGAAGGTAAAGATGATCCAATATCTACATTACTTACTTTAGCAGATAAAAAGGATATGCAATTTAATCATGAGAATCGAACATTTATGTATAATGAGAAATGTAATAAGCATCTTATTCTTCAACGTGAGGAACTACCTAGTGAATATCGAAACTTTATGGATACTCTTACTCTTTGTGATTTAGAAGATTGTGTAGTAGAGATATTTGCGGGGTTTCGCTTTATTGTTTTACGCAATATACGACGTTGTCAAATATATCTTGGTCCATGTTTTTATTGTTACTGTGATGAAGTATCTTATTGTAATCCTATTGCAGTGGCAAGTGTTCATTTGCTTATGAATGGTGTTTCTCATGTAAAGTTTAACTATAGCGGTTTAACAGCACCGCGATGTCCGGATGGTCAACGATTACCACAAGATGTATCTATTACACCTTATACTGTTGCTTATACGGGTATAAGTGCAGACTTTGCTGCGCTTGCAGTTCCACAGGAACATATTGGAGGCATCTCAACATTATTTACAGAACCTGAATCCAGTACTACTATTAATACTACTAATAGTAATACTAATACTACTACTAGTAACACAGTTGAGAGAATATTAAAGTTTCCTAAAACGTTACGTGGAGGATTTGATTTTCCCTATTCCCATGCGTTAGCGGCCTATAGTACACGTTTTATACATGAACATGATGGTGTGAGTGATGTCTTTCTCTTCCCAACAGAGGTAACAGGGAAGAGTGTTCGTATTGCACACATTCATGGTGGTGAACCTCCCGGTCCACATATTACGAGTGGCTTTTCTTCTGATATCACCCGTCAGCCATCATGGATTAATCACAAGGATGAATCCGAAGAAAAAGAAATAGAATCTGAAGCCATACGTTACCCGGTGGTATGTGTGTTGGATGTAGTGAGTGACTGTGTGGTGTCGGACTGTTCACGGTGTACAATTGTACTGCTTGGATCATGTGAGTTAGTGACACTGCGGCGTTGTGTGTCTGTGCGTTTTATTCTCACCGCACGAACGGTGGAGATGCGGGACTGCACGGCGGTGTGGATCGACGCCGTGGTGGCCGACAACGTCCTGCTGGAGTACTGCCGCGGTGTGCGGTTGGCGCCGCTGGTGTTTCGCAGCCCACAGTGCCGTGCTTGGCGGTATGCCCTTCAAAGCGGCGATACCACCGACCGGTTTAATTTTGCCCAAACAATAGAGAATGAGGATAGTGATAGTGATAATAGTGAGGATAGTGATTATTATGAAGAGGAAGATGATGAAGAAGAGAATGCGGTACGGCGAGGGGAAGTGGAGTTGTGTGAATGTGATGATGTCCAACTGGAGCCTCGGGCCACTGTTTTGTCTATTGGGGGTAGAATTGGTAAAAGAGCACAAGTGGCCAAATGGAAATTGACGCCGTTGATGCAACAATTATGGGGATCTCAACATTCCTTATCTTTATCCCCCTTGACAGAAGGAAAAGAAGAAGTGGAAGAAGATGAATATGAAGAATATAATAATAATAATAATAATAATAATAATAATAATAATAATAATAATAAAGATAAAGAGGGAATATCTGGATGGGCAACGACTCCATCACCTGTGCGTCTACATGATATGTTTAATGTATCAATATTTAGAGTTCCAGAGACACTAAATATACGTGAAAGAACAACAAGAAAAAGAAAAAGTAGAGGAAATGATACGATGGAGGAATTACCCTTAATAGATGTCGTACTGGAACGTTTAGTAGTGGGCGTTGTCCATCTCTCAGAGGCAGTAGGAACATTATTTGTACATAAATGTGTAGGTCCTCTTGAAATTATTGTCTGTGCTGCTCGTTCTGTTATTATGGAATCCTGCGAACACGTCACTCTGCAGACGTCGTGTAAACAATTCACTGCCATTGACTGTCGTGCCTGTCATTCCGCCTTGCATGTCAATACACCACCGCGTTATATAGATTGTACAGATATGCAAACTTCTACTTTAAATATTACTTCAGAAAACTATGAAGACTTTCTTCATCGAACGGATGTAAAGGTAGACGTTAATCGCTTTGATGAACCAGAATTACTTTTATCACGTACCTCATCACTCTTCAGAGAAAAAGGAACGGAGAACTTTTCTTTACCATATAATTCTACTTCAGATACTTACACACAATGGACATTACCAGAAGTAAACTCTATTGATTCATACACTGCGGCATTATCTGTACTGCAGCGTCCGTTAACTATAGTTCCACCGCTGCCCGCTACTTGTGTGGGATTGAAGGATGCGCCATTCCTTGGACCTTTTGAAGATCGTGTGAACTCTGAATTGGCAAAACGAACCTCTTTTGAAACGGATATTATTTCAGCACTTTTATTTCTCTCAGAGCCAAAGAAGGAAAATAAGGAAAAACATGATAATATGGTGTTATCAGGAGATTCAAAATTGATATCAGATGTTAAGAACGAGAAGAACTCGATAAACCAAATACAACACGGAGTTACGATGGCACTGACAAGTGAAACTGTGAAGGAAGAACGACATGTGGATCCTTTTCTTAGTTCTGTTGAGACTGAGACAAAAGAGCTTCCCATTGCCACTATTCTTCCTGCTACTGTGAATTCTACTGGTGGTAAGGATAAGGATAATAATGATGCTAATATGTTGGATTCTGATCGACTGCATTCTTCTCAAAAAACGCCTCGCGCAATGTTATCACAACAACTTGGCTCTAGTAGTTGCAGCAGTATTAGTAGGAATAGACGTAATCGTCGTGGAGATGGTTTTAGTCGTGCAGTCGATGATGAAGACGAGGAGGAAGAAGAAGAAGAAGATGCGAATGGTGGAAGTATAATGAATGATGATGATGCTGTACATGGGAGAGTGGAACCCCAGAAGGAGACACGGAGTGTAAAAGCCACAACTTCTCAAGAGGCCGAATATGAATATATCAGCTCCGGTACCCCTTTGAACAATGGAGGAACCTTAACAATAACAACAACAACAACACCAACAAGATCAATAGCAACAGCAATAGCAACAGTGGCTGAAGAAGAAGAAGAGGAAGAAGAAAAAGAAGAAAAAGAGAAACATGGGAAAGAGAAGGATGATGGTGAAGAAGATGGTGCAAAAATGGATAAGAAGGAGGAGAAGGATGTGAAGGGAAATGGGAAGAATTCTCCTACTGCCGCTGAAGATAGATTGCCAGAGGAGCCCGTCAACCACACAAGTAGGAATAATAATAATAATAATAATAATAATAATAATAATAATAATAATAATAATAATAATAATACAGAGCTGGAGAGGGTTGAGTCCACTGAGCCTGCAGAGATGATGCCCATGAAAAAGTATTCACCATCAGACTTTATTATTGCCGCCCATCCGGAAGATGAGGAAATGATACGATCTGTTATGCAGCAAGTGGCCGCCAGGCGTGCGGTGTTTTTCTCTGCACATTGTTCATCAGATAATGTCTCCTTTTCCTACAAGAATTCAACAGTGGAACTGCAGAAACGGGTGGAGAATGCTTTAGTAAAGCTTAAAAGTCTTCTCAAGTAATTTGCTCTCTTCTCTACTAATCTGTTACTCACTTTCTCAGAAGTTAAAATGAATTATTTGTATGCTTTTTCTGCTTTTTTTGGTTTTTGATTATACGTTTGTTTGTGCTAACACTCACACTATGAAAATCCCTTTTTCGGTTTTTTTTTTTTTTTTTTTTTTTTTTTTTCATTTTTTTCTGCTGCTGCTGCTGCTAACCACATTCTCTTGAATGTTTGTGTGTTCCTTTTTATGCTCTTCTGCGTTTTTTTTTTTTTTTTTTTGCTTCTTTGGTCGTTACTGTTCGTGGTGGTTTTGTCTATTCACGTATTTTTATACAAAGTGTGCAGAGGATCATAACAAGAGTGTGATTTTGTAGAAAGAGAGAAATATAGATAGATAGATAAAGAGAATAAGTTCAAGTGAGAGGAAGACGTGAATGAGAAGTATTCTCTGTTTTGGAAAAGAAAAGAGAAAAAAAAAAAACGGTACTTATTAGTGATATCACGGGGGCTGAATGTATTCTAGCTCTACTCTTATTATTCTCTCATGTCTTTTTTTTTCTTTTGTAATATTCTTTCGGTCATCAAGGTGGAGCCGTAGCTGGCTTTTTTTTTTTTTCTTCTTTTTCGGATGAATTATTTGAATGCCTTCTGCTTTGATTTCCTTTTTTTTCTTTTTTCTTGTCTTCTTCTTTTCTTTATATTTTCTCTTCTGTGTTGAATAGAAATATTCATACATTAGGAAATAAATACGTTAAGAAAGTGTAAAAAAAAAAAGGTGGGGAATCTGCTTCTGTGAAGCATTAGAAACTGGCGTACTCTGCAGTAGTAAGACTCACAGCAGACTACAGAACACCAATAGTAATAAGAGGAATCGTTCTGGTGTTTACCCCCTTTTTTTTCATACAAATACAAATACTATAGTTCTTTGTAGAGTGAGTATAAGAGAAAGAAAAAGAAAAAGAGAGAAAGTGTGTGTGTGTTGCTTTTATATTCTTTAGGGGAAATTGTTACAGGAAGAAATACCCAAAGAAATTGTAGGAAGGAAAGAAACCCCAATTTGGTGGGTATCACATATTATATATATATATATATTATTATTATTATAGGTCTATTTTTTATTTTTATTATTATTATTACTATTTGAAAGTGATTTCGTCTGTATTTTTGTGTACTCTTTGAGTATCGAAGCAATATTTGTATACGAGATGTTTAAGAACTATCTACGTAAGTGCTCTATTTTGAGAAAATCCAATTCATCTACTGCGGCGAATGTGGGTCAACCCATAGGAACACCAGAAAGTGAAGAGAACACAGAGGAATTCCCTCCTCCTCCTCCTCTTCCTCCTCCTATTGTTGTTGATGATGATAATAATTATGATGATGATGATTATGATAATAATTATGCAGCTGTTACTGCGGCTCCTTTAAAGGTGGAGAAAAGAGAAGGAGAAGTAAGTGAATATACATCAGAGTTAAATAATGAAGATATCTCTTCTATACAAGAACAGCAACAGCAGCAACTACAACAACAACTACAACAACAAGCTATACCTCTGCGAAGAATTGATGTTTATGAACATACAATCGTACCTACTGGTGATGAGTGTAGTGAAAGCGAGAATAATGATAATAATGACGATGACTTCATATTTGAGGAAGAACAGAAGCATCCTTTGAATACTCTAAAGACATCAAATCCTGCTGTAGCTGTATTGTTTAGCGGCAATGATAACAAAGATGCCACTAACAATAATAATAATAATAATAATAATAATAATAATAATAATAACTGTGGTAGTATTAGCAGCAGCAGCAGTAATAGTAAGAGGAGTCTTTGTAGTAATAATGATTTTCGCATGACATATGGATTAACAGAGCGTGAGGGGTTAGTACATCTCCCCAGATATCCATCAAAACCTCGAGACATAGCCACACTTTCGCCGCCCTCCACTGGAGAACATCCACTCACAGATAAATCATTATCAGGACAGTCTCAACAACAGGAAGAAGAAGAAGAAGAAGAAGAAGAAGAAGAAAAGATAGATCCGATTCCTTTTACACAAAAAATAAGTGTAGCGATACCTAATGATCGTTTATCATTTTTATACTATGATGATGATGATGATGATACCGAGGTGACAGGCAGTACACTGGATGAACCCATGACACCACAAAGTTATTCTTCTATTATGAGAAGCAATGAGTGGAAGAAGTGGAGCACTACGAATCTTAATAGTGGTACTACTGGCAATAAGCAAACACTTGGTGGATTTGGAAATAGTGTAAGCATGTATCCAAGACAACGGAAAACTGGAAGTATGAATGCATCATGTTCTCTTAGTTTGAATTGTTCCAGTACAACCTCTAGTCGTTATCGTGCTGGATCGGAACCACGACAAAGTGATTCCATGAATGTAGAGATGGGTTTACATAACGGTGAATATGGAAAACCACCTTTTCCTGTTATGATTTCCAATTCTATGGAATTCACTCAACGTAGTTATTATGGCTCAAACAATTTTTCAGGTGATTGTAAAGATATGGAGAGTCCTACAGAAATTCGCCGTCGTGATTCTTCACGTCTCTCACAGGTTTCTGTACTTCCCCCAGAACCGAAGGAACTAACAAATGTAAATGTTGGTCGTCTACGTTCAGTTTCCCTAAAAGGGCATGTGTTGGAAAGTAGTTCTGTCGATAAACAGCCAGTTGGTAATTATCAAAAGTTATTGAATGATAAGTATGTCATTTATTCTAAATGGAATCTTGGCGAGGGATCCTATTCAAAAGTACTGCTCTGTTATAATCTGGAGGATGAGGTGTATTATGCAATGAAGGTGTTGGATCGTGTACGATTGCAGCGAAAAGGATTAGGTGTAGATTGTGCCTTACATAAAGTACGTCGTGAAATTGCGATTATGAAAAAACTACAACATCGTAATATTATTAAACTTGTTGAGGTGATTGATGATCCACGTAGTAGAAAGATTTATCTCGTTTTAGAACTTGCTGAACATGGTGAGATTATGTCTCTACGGGATGATGGTACAGTAATTCCAATTGATGGAAGCACAACACTTCCAGAAGAGGAGGTGGTACGTGTGATGCGGAGTATTGTGAGTGCGGCGATGTATGCCCATCATCTTGGTATTGCCCATCGTGATATTAAACCACAAAATATTTTACTCACTGCAGAGGGAGATGTGAAATTGTCGGATTTTGGGGTTTCCATCATTGTAGATGATTCCTCTGCACGGGTGCGGCGGGAAGGAAGTGTGGCATTTCTACCACCAGAGATGCTGATATCATCGGAAGTCCAAGTAGCTCCATCGGCAGATTATGTACACTCAGAGTGGTGTAGGAATAAGAATGATAATGATAATGATAATAATAATAACAACATTATCAACAAGAAGCATAGTCAAGGTATACCCATCTCAACAGCAGCAGTAGCAGCAACAGCAAGAACAACAACAACAACAACAGCAGTAGATATTACAGGGGAGTCTACAATGGAAACAACTCCAATCCGTAATGTAATGCGTGCGTGTAGTTCGTGTACTGCTCTTTGCAAATGCGGTGGAGAAATAAAAGAAGAAAAAGAAAAAGAAGCGGTGGCCCATCCGGCATCAGCGCCGGTGTTTCCTCAGGCGTGGGCCACTGCTGCCCACACATGGATATTAGGAAATAATAACAATAACAATAATAACAATAACAATAATAACACCGCAGTGCCCGCACCGCAAGTGGATCTCTTTAAAGCTGATGTGTTTTCTCTCGGAGTGACGGCCTTCGTTCTTTTGATGGGCCGCCTGCCGTGGCGAGCGCATGATGTGCGTTCGCAGTTAGAGGCTATACTTGCCGAGAGTGATCCGTTTAAGGTGGAGTTTGAAAAGGCCTATGCTGAAATGAAGAAGAAGAAAAAGGAGGTAGTGGTGGAATCTTTAGAAGGAGGAAAAGGAAGAAAATTAAAAAAAGAATTGGTGGAGGAATTATTTTCACCTATATGTAAAGAAGTTTTACCAGATTTCCAGAAGAAACATGATGAGTGTTTGTTGAATCATGTTAAGATCCCACAACTCCATAAGTGTTGTGAAAATGTAGTCACACCATCTACCAATGAGAAGGGAAATCTTTGTACGCAGTTGGGTGAATCCCCAATACCGTCTATTATAAAAGTGAATAAGGATGAAATGCTAATAGATAGCAGTGAAACTGAACAACAAATATTAAAGAAAACAACACCATATTTTCAATCATTTCAGCATACATGTGAAGTTTCACCATCTGCATGGGAATCTGATACCTCACATCATCGTATAAACTTTATCCATGAGGGTAGTAACAGTAGTACTGTCACAACTGCTGGGTTAACACCTTATGGAAGTTCACAAACTTATTATACTCAACGAACACGCTCTTCTACAAGAAGTGGTGAAATCCCAACAGCTGTTCCAATCATATTTGTGAATCCTACACGAGATCGACATACATCTAGTACTCAAATAGATTCCATGTTGAATACAAGTGCCTGTTCATCCCTTAGTCCAAAGTTACCAAAGAGTCTTAAACAAGGTAGTCAAGGTGGAGGAGAGTCCGGGTTTATTCGCTCAGAGGATGTTATACTAGAGGAGGTCTCGTCTTTACGAGAGAGAGATGAAGGGATAGAAGTTCCCAACATTACAATGAAATCATTTGGAATGCAAAAAGAATCCCCTTCTTTTTCCTGTGATCAACATATTCTGACTCCTACTACTACGACTACAAGTAATACTGATGGGGTGAATGCTACTATGGGTTCTGTTACTATAATGGTAGAAGGTAACGAGAAAATGGCAGAGAAGCAAACTGGAAATGTACCAGAGGAACAACTAAGCTATTTACCAGCAACAAAAACAAAAGGAGAAATCTCAGCTCATGCGATTGACTTTATCCGCTGTTGTTTAAAGGTAGATCCCTCGGAACGAAGTACTATGTTTGATCTGTACAATCATCCATGGATACAGGAATTAATTGCAAGTGAAAAGGAAACAGATAACCATTCGTCTCCTATTTTTCCTTGTGATGAAACTCATTGTTTACATAATAACGATGATAATAATAACAATAATAAGGATTACCATGGAATAGTAAGAGAGAATCATGGTCTTTCCAATATGAATAGTACTTTAAGTCACGTAAAGAGAGAGGGATCAACAACAGATTTATCTAAAGATGATATAATAACGAAATTAGTGAGCTCTGAAGAGGTAAAAGCAACTCCATTTGTATGTATGACGAATAATGATAATGATATTATCAATAGTACAACTAATAAGGTCTTTGATGATAAATACGAATTAGAGTTATCAGGAGTACCTGAAATAACTGATATGCATATCTCTGGGGACTCTAATATTATAAATTCAGAAGGTTTATATAATTCTTTTGTACATCATTCCACAGATGCGATTCTATCACCATTGCCCACTGTATTTAGACCTTCTGATTCCAATCAAGCTGTATCTACAAGTACAGTTACCGTATCTGCACTAACATCACCAGTGAATAGCTGCGCTGAGCACAACCGAATAGAAGCATCGCCCACTACAGTGTGCCAACCTCATCTTTTTCAACTCAATCATCATCATCATCTCAACAACAACAACAACAACAACAACAACAATATCAATGACAACAGCAACAATAGTAGTAGTCATAATAACAATGCTACTAGCATTATCAGCAGTTGGAGCAGCTACAATAATAATAATAATAATCAGAATAGTCAGAGTAATAACAATGAAGATCCCATCATCAATAGCAGCAGTAATAATGATTATGAATACCATACCGGCTATGCAATGTCGGCGGATTTGGCGTCTGCAGTAACGCACGCAACGGCGAGTACACGACTACTGCGGGGATATGAAGAAATTGCCGTTCCGTGTTCACTCGCCGCCCGACTGCGGGGCCGCCATTCACTGCGGTACAGTTGTGATGATAGTTGTATGCAATCACGTGTGCTCACGAACATATCATTGCAGACCCTCAGCAGTGCGGAGGATGTCTCCCCTCACAGCCGCACTGCGGCCATCCATGGAGAGATGGAGGATAGGAGAGAAGTGGATCTTCATCCTCACAAGAGTAATGAAACAGAGAAGAACAATAAAGAGAAGATAAAGAGAAATCATCATCATCATCATCATCATCATCATCAAGGTAAAAACAAAAATACGACTGAATACGTGGGAGATAAGGGGTTTAGTAGAGGATGCAGTGGTGTTGCTACTTCTCATTTGGCAGGGGATGGGTGTCCGTTCCCCCTTCTACCATCTACAGAAGATTCTCCTTTGAGTATTCCACAAGGGAAAGAAGAGTCACATCATAAACATAATTTTAGTGATCAACATCAACATTATCATTATTATCATCGACGCTGTTTCTCTTGTCCTAATTAATGTGCCTATTATCTTTTACGTGAGAACTTGCGATATATATATATATATATATATATATATATATATATTTATGTATGTATTTATGTGTCTATGTGCTTATGAATGTATTTAAATATATGTGTGTATCTTTATGTGTAGGAATTGTATACGAATTCACTTCTTTTTTTTTTGTTTTTTTGTTTCTCTTAATAAAACAAGAAAATAAGAAAGGAGTTGGACTGTAATTTCGTAGACACTTAACATAGAAGGAAAGGAGAGAAAAAAGGATGAACTTCAGAACAGAAGGGCGCAGTGTAGAAAGCGTCATGTTATGAAGTTATTATGATTACTATTATTATTGTTATTATTATTTCTGTTTTTTTACTTTCCTGTTTGAAACAGATCGTTCAGCTTGACCGACAGTGAACGAAGAATAAGTCCCGGATAGAATATAGAACGAAAAAAAAAATCTGAATTACAGTACAGGTTGGTTCTCTTTCTTTCTTTGTTTTTTTTTTTCTTCTTTTTTTCTTTCTCTACGACTTATTCTTCGATGTCGTTGTTTTTTCATCGTTATATATATATATATATGAAATGTATACATTATAAACACAACACATGCTTTTTTTTCTTTATTTCCCTAACACATACATACATACATATATAGAAAGAGAGGGAGTGTGTATGAATGTATGTATATATGTTAGTTTATTCCCTACCCCTTTTTTTCTCTTCCTGCTTTTATTACTATTATCTAAGAAAAAAAAGAGGAAAACAAGAATGAATTTTTTTAAGCTCATGGTAGTATTATCCATTTCTTCTTCTTGTTTGCTCTTTAGTAGTAAATGTATACTTATACGATACAGCAAAGAGAGAGAGAGAAAGAAAGAATGGAATAAAACGATTAAGATAATTCTTTCTTTTAAGCAGAGGTGATACGTATGGTAGATGACTGAGGGCTACCAATTGTAAAATTGGTGAAATATGGGCGACCTTTTATTATTATTATTATTATTATTATTATTATTATTATTATTATTATTATTATTATTATTATTATTATTAATTTATTTATTTTATTTTATTTTATTTTTCTTTCTTTGTTTCTCTTTTGAATTTGCCTCCCCTTCAACATCACTCGTTTTCAACCCCACTTTATGATTATTATTCTGTTGTGGTATACATATACATATTATCTCTGTATATGTTTTTCCATTATTATTATTATTATTATTATTATTATAAATATTCCATTTGTACTTTATATATATATATTCTTTTCTTTTGTTGTTCTCATGATTTGTATTGTGAAAGGTACACTTCCATTCTAGTAACTGATCTCTACAAGACTTTTCTTTCTTTCTTTCTTTATTTATTTATTTTTTCTTCTCTGTGCCTTCTTCAGTTGCTGTAATATACAACTGATATTACTCTTTTTCTTTCCCTCTTCTCTTTCAGTCGTAAGAAGAAGAAGAAAAGAAACGAAAAAAAAAATAATAATAATAAGAAAAGAATAGAGGTGTTTGTGGTGAATAGGTCCTTAAAGGGATTTCAGAGTACATCTCAATTGTAATTTGGGGGACTCACAGACGCGTGGAAAGGGAAGTACAACGGAAAAACAAACAAAAAAAAGGAGAAAAGGATACGCACA